AATCAATTTACCTTGCGCCTGACATCCACCTAGCCAAGCACGTTTTGCACGAACTACATAATACTTTTGGAATCCACGGTTCGTCAAAGTCTCCAGGATCAATTTTAAAATAAAGCCTGTATGCAGTTTGCAACGAAGCAGTGAAATTGATCGATTTTGTAAATATATAGTTGCCACACGCGTAACAAAACTTTTGAGGATCATTTTTACACTTGAATTCACGTTTTGTCGTATACATCGTTAAGCAATGTTAAAGAAAGAAAGCTGTCAAATTGAGTTGGTTGCGTTAGGTTCTCGCCGAGCGGTCTCACAAACACTAGCGTAAATTATATTGTTGAAAATATCCCATTTAATTTTGCGTGACAGCTGGTAGTGTTAGTGAAATGCACCGTATGCGTACACGTCCGCAGAAAGGCTTACTGGAAGTGGTGCATGAACCTAGGAGCGGGACAACGGCCAATCTTGGAACATTCAATTTCCATGATTTTACAAAAAATTTCATAACTTCGACAATTTCCAACCGATTTCATCCATTAAAGGCTCATTTTCTCCAGTTTTTAATGGACTTTAAGAATAAATTATGGAATGATTTTTTGAATCTTTTTATCCTATTAAAAATGTTGATTAAAACAAGATTTTTATGGAAAATTCGAAGGAAAAATAAAAAAAAAAATGCTGTAAATTTTTAAATGACTTCAAAATTAAATTTTTAATTAAGACATTATATTCAAGTGAACGATAGCAAATTTATTTAGCTTCACTTTCATAAAAAAAGATTTAAAATTGGTGCACTAGTTCCAAAGATTTTGACATTTTAGTAATCGTACTTTTGTCCAAAATTCAAAAAATCAAAATTTTTGTATATCTCAAAAATGGCTCTACTTTATTTTTTTCTGACCACGGCATTGAATTCAGCGTAGGATTTTGCATTAGAAACGTTGGTCAACCACTAAAGTGTTGTTTTGTAAACTAGTGTAATTAGAATTTGAAAGTTACAAGAAGAGGTCATGAAGTATATGTTTGACGCATACAACCTGTCAATATTGTGAATATTGATCACTCTAAGTGAACGCTCCCGAATCATAAGATCGCGGATTGTGACGCTCTGAAAGTGCACTTGACAGGTTTTTTGAGTCAAACACATACTTTACACCGTCTTCTTGTACATATCGTTATATCATCTAATTATTCCATAATAATTCCGAAAAACATTTTTTTTTATAGCAAGTGAGTGGAAATGTCATTTTCGGGTTATGATTTGTTGAAAAACAATCGAATACGTAATATTGATTTTTTGCGAGATTCAAAATGGCCGACTTCAGCTCAAATGTGAATGATTTACCATGACAAACAATTATGCAACGTGTCGTGCAAATCGGAGAAGGTCGGGTCAAAATTATTATTTTTTACTATTCGGCCTGGAAATGCTCAGCTTCAAGTACCATTTCTTCATGTATTACGTCAAACGACTATTATTCCAAACGACTCTATGTCAAATGGCTGTATGCCAAACGGCATTATGCCAAATGACATGATGCCGAACGGGGTACACTCAAATAACTAGTGGAAAATATTAATGTGAATCAGGGTTGCTTCCACTCACTTCTTGCTCAACAATAGAAAAGGGCCCATCAGCATTTGTAAACAAACCCATTCCTCACAAATCTAAAGTCGCTCACACAAACCAACACCATCATCGGATAGGGAAAAGTTTCACCGAGATGAAACCTTCCAATCAAAATATTTTTCGATGTTACTTAAGTCACCCGATTTCTATGGGGATTGTCTTAAGTAACAGTGCCGAGAAATCCGTGAAAAGTGTACGTTCGTCGTTTCGCTTTCTTATTATTAAAGTAAATAAATCGAACAGTTTGTTGCTAAGATAATTTCGGTGGTCCTAAAATGATGAATGGGCTGCACGTAAGAAGATGTGATTTATAATTCTCCCGAATATCCTGGTAAATACCCCCCACAACGATATAGTTTAGCCCGAATGTTACTTTTAAGTATTTAAATTGCAAATTCTCAAATTTACGTGAATTAAACTTAATTTTGGTGGAATATACTTAAGATTAAGTATTTCTTTTTGCTGGTGTTAATTGAAAACTTGCCGATTTACTCAAATTTGGGTTATTGGGCTGAACCCGTGAATTGAGAGAAAAGTACTTAATTTTGGGTAGTTTTTCATCTCCGTGTATGGTTCTTAAGCCTATTCATATTCGATACATCGTTTTGCGTTAACAAAGTTCGCACGTCATGAAGTCAACAACGCATTCTTAGTGTTGACGGAAGGGAAACAAAATGTAGTGTGTACATTAGCATACTTGAAGAGGCACACGTACTGAGAATACCAGAGGATCACTTACTCACATCTTTGGCGATGTAAAGTGTTCCTTCAAGTGTTTTCATCCGAGATCGCATTGATATCGAACTTGATCGACCAGCGTTGTGCAGGGTCAGTCATATTCGTCTGTCATTTGGTCGCGACTGTTTTGGGTACCAAAGAGGACTGACAGTCATGAGACGGACCGAAAAGTTGTAGATGGGAAGGAGAGGTTATGAAAATATGCTTATATTCTATACCGTTCATACGTTAAAAAAATGAAATGGGTTTGGAACATTCTTGAAGATTCTATGGCTTCTATAATTTGCCCAGTTTCATATTAGGGAAAATTAGGACTTAGTTTTTTAAAGATTCTTAGGTTAACGAATTAGTCTTTAGGACCATGTATTTATTACGTTATTGAGATTTAAAAAAAAAATCTTATGTTCTCTTACAAGGGAGGCAGGAAATCTCAGAAATACCGTTCCGAAGAATGACATGAAGAATACAGAAGATGTTAAGCATATGGATTTTCTGTAATATACACTGACGCAAAAAAAACGTAAGAATTCCATAAGAACCGTTTATGAATTTTAGCCGCAATAAATCAGTATCCATTTCATTGATTTGCCTTATGAAAAATAATGTCGACAAAAAACAATGAAATGGAACAGACTGGAACCGAACCATGGACGTTGAGACTACGAGTCATGTGACTGTCGTCTGTCAACGCTTGGGAAAATGGAATGGCTTAAGGTGATTCCTTGTAGAGTCCACAAATGGCCACCACGTAGGCTATAAATGCATTTCCACCTAGAATTTTCAATTACACACATCTCGGAAATTAGAGTTCCATTTCACCTGAAATTGCTACTGCATGTATGCTGCAGCGCAGCAAACGTGGAGTAACAGTTTCATTATAGTACGTGTCGTGGAAGCTGATATTTGTGCACTTAAAGTTTCGAAGTGGTAGCGAGAATAAGGATCTGACAGCGAACCACCTTAAGGCATATACGAGCTAAATAAGAGATGAACTCAAGAGCAAATTTTCATTATGTCGTAAGTAACATTCGCACCAATCCGAGAAAAATAAAGTTTTGTTTCGATGACCGAAAAGTTATTCCTATTTCCAAGTAAACACATATAATCTCATAGTGATAGCAATGTTTAACATATTTAGCAGGGTTTTAATCATACAGATGCAAATCGCTAGCTTTCATGCTAAAAAATACTGGTTTTGAGTCAAAAGTTATTATACGTCGTTTGGTGGCCCCTATTGTTACTTAAGTCAAAGTGTATTTACCAGGATATTCGGGAGAATTATCAATTACGTCTCCTTACGTGCAGCCCATTCATCATTTTAGGACCACCAAAATCATCTTAGCATCAAACAGTTCGATTTATTCACTTTAATAATGAGAAAGCGAAACGACGAACGTACACTTTTCACGGGTTTCTCAGCACTGTTACTTAAGTCAAACGGCATCTCCATAGAAATTGGGTGACTTAAGTAACATCGAAAACTATTTTGATCGGAAGGTGATTACGTCAAAAAGCAATTTGACTGGTAAATAAATTTAAAAATGGGATTTGATCCTATATTCGGACAGTATATAGTGTAATAGCAGGAGAATCTATTGGCACTGATAGTTCGACTTTGTTTACCTTTGTTACATTCGACGTAATGAAAATTTGCTCTTGAACTAGCCTATAGCTAAAAATCTCTTTAATAAAGAAAAAAAAATATACGAGCTACCTCATGTTAGACGCGCTTCTGAAATGCATATGTCTGGATCAACAATAGAAAAGGGCCCATCAGCATTTGTAAACAAACCGGTCCAAAGCCCATTCCTCACAAATCGCTGGCCGGCCACACAAACCAACGCCATCATCGTGTGGGTAGAAGTTTCCCCTATTCGATGATGGTGTTGGTTTGCGTGGGTGGCCTTTGCCTTGTGAGTAAAGGATTTTGGAACAGTTTGTTTACAAATGCTCATGGGCCCTTTTCTATTGTTGATGTCGTTCATAAGTCGAGCCTTATGAAATTCTTAAGTCTATTTGCCTCAGTGCACGTATCCTAATATGTATCTAAATGAAAGGTAGCAATAAATGCTCATTTTGCTATAACAAATGTTTTTTTTTGGGAATTATGAAATCGATGTCAACATTTCATTAGGGCGAAACAATTTTTGTTAACGTAAATTCCTCGCAAATCAAACCAAACTAACCATACTAGCTGATTCACTAACCATATCAGCTTCCCCTAATAGATGGTGTTGCGGTTTAGACTATTCTTTACAAAAGCAGTTTCGTCCTTTTGAAATGTTGATATAGAAACATAAGTTGTTATGATAGTATTTTTTACCAGTAAAGTAAGTTACAAGAAAAGGTTGTAAAGTATGTCTTTAACTCATAGAACCTGTCAATTTCATTTTTAGAGAGACACAATCAGCGATAAGTGAGTTAGTTAAAATGATAAAATCGTTGATTGTGACTCTCTGAAAGCTTGCAACTTATTGCAACTACGAAAGATCATCATAACATCTTCATTTTTTATAGCGACATGAGTATTCGCAATCCTTGGACCTAGGTTAAGAAAGCTATAGCTATCCGATCTAGAAGACCGTACGACTTTAAACTCAATCCTTTTAACCGCTCAACTTCAACCATCTTCCAGATCACCGGTGGTGCTGGGTTCGTGGGATCGCACCTGGTCGACTACCTGATGATGCAGGGCCACGAGGTGGTCGTAGCCGATAACTTCTTCACCGGTCGGAAGCGCAACGTCGAACACTGGTTGGGTCACGAAAACTTCGAACTCATCCACCACGACATCGTCAATCCACTGTTCATCGAAGTGGACGAGATTTACCACCTGGCAAGCCCGGCCAGCCCACCGCACTACATGTACAACCCGGTCAAGACGATCAAGACCAACACGCTGGGAACGATCAACATGCTCGGGTTGGCGAAACGGGTCGGGGCCAAGGTGTTGATTGCCAGTACGTCGGAGGTATATGGAGACCCAGATGTACATCCCCAACCGGAGACCTACTGGGGTCATGTGAATCCTATTGGACCGAGGGCGTGCTACGACGAGGGGAAACGTGTGGCGGAGACGCTGAGTTACGCCTACGCCAAACAGGAGAACGTCAATGTCCGGGTGGCGCGGATCTTCAACACGTACGGTCCGCGGATGCACATGAACGATGGCCGGGTGGTGTCCAACTTCATCATCCAGGCACTTCAAAATCAGTCAATTACTGTGAGTAACTGGATTTAGGATAACGGTGGGTTAGCAGTGATGGTACTCAACTCGTTTTTCGTTTCTTTAGATGTACGGAAGTGGAAAGCAGACGCGATCGTTCCAGTATGTGTCCGACCTGGTGGACGGGATGGTTGCGCTGATGACTTCCAACTACACGCAGCCGGTCAATTTGGGCAATCCGGTGGAACGCACAATCCAGGAGTTTGCCGAAATTATCCGCGACCAGGTCGGGGGTCGGAGCAAAATTATCGAACTTCCCGCAGTGGAAGACGATCCGCAGCGGCGCAAGCCGGACATTTCCCGCGCCAAGAAATATCTCAACTGGGAACCACGGGTGAGTGTTTTTGTTTTGGTTCGCTTGAGGAAAAACTTTTTTCTCTAATATGATTTTCTCGTCTGAAGGTCCCCCTGAAGGAGGGCCTCATCAAAACAGTCGAATACTTCCGGAAGGAGCTGGCGCGCTCCAATCACTCCCAGCGGAATATCTTCGTGCCGGAAACGACTGAAACCAAGAAATAACATTGTTAGCTGGTAGCGCAATGGTGTGTGGTTTTTGAATGGTATGTTGAATTTTGATTAAGTCAGTCATGTCTGAGGTAGATGCTAGGCTCGGTCGAAACCGAACGACCGACGGTGCTGCAATTGTTGTCAAGTGCGATTCCGCTCTGTTTAGGATTCCCGTTAGTTCCATTTCATCATCACCTTCTTCTTCGTCTATACCACAGTACAAATCGTTCGTCCTATTTCGTCGTATTCGGACAGAAACATTTCCTCTCTCTCGCTAGTGGGCCATTTAAGGACATGATTCAGCGAAGTCTCATCTCTGGTTGCTGCTTCTACTTGCTACAAACACTGAGTGGCGTTTACGACTTAGTACCTTCATAAAGTAGATCGCCCAATGTGGCTTCCGTGAACCACGTCCTTAAGGTTATGTGAAGATATGTCAATTATTGTTGAAACCCGGTTTGCATAGAAAACTATTGCTCGTAGATTAATCTTGATAAATAGTATAATTTCCTTCTGTTGGATCTTTTGTGCATATATTTTTCATCCCCCTTATATTTCTAGTCTTGTTTTATATTTGTGAATATGTTTTTTTATAGTGTTTATGATTGTCATTAAAAAAATCATGTTAGTGAATAGTTGAGAAAGGTTTTAACAGATTGTTTAATCTAGTGAAAGATATCACAGCCAGAATTTTAGTTAAAAATTCCAACCTTTTTAGTCAGGACAGCAATGATGTTATTAGGTACAGGTAGAAATTCTATGACAGTTATATTTGTTTGATTTTGCGAGACAGAAGGGGGTCTTATGAAGTCTCATACATCGCAGTCAAATCTCAAGTCTCAAGGCCACATTCCAAAACATGAGTGGAACATGGTGATCACGTCAAACTATAATGTCTAAAATGAACCACAACCTCTAGAACGGCTCCCAAACACTCTCCATGCTGAATCGTGAGTCCCCCTTTTTCCCATATCATTGCATGCAAAATAATAACCCAATGCAGATCAATTGAATATGCCTAAATTAATTACAGTTAAATTTTAGGCTGACAAAAACGGGAAAAAATATCCCATTATTGTTTTGATCAAAATTATTACAGAAAAATGAAATTCTTAGAGTTATGGGTGCTATGGGATAATATGACCAACAGCGCTTATTTACGTGTTTTGAAAAACAAATTTAATTGAGTTTCACCCGTAATCACTGGAAGAGCTGCAGAACAGTCATCTGGGAAATTGTATGTATCAATTGATCTTTTAATAGCACGAGAAAAAACGCTGTTGGTATTAAAGCACCGGGGTGCGTTTTACCCCTCCTTGTCCTGTGTAAAAACTCTTTTAACCCATCAAATAACTAGAATTATTGAATCAATCTTTCTTTGACGATAATGAAATATGTATCGACGGATTTCTCCACGTTAAGGACCGGCATCTCCCTTCGCACTACTGTCTCGCACGCTTCTCCGGTTGCGTTGGGAGCAGTATTGGTCCAATTTCCGAACGAACATGTTGATGAGTAACATATAATATGTTATGCTAGTAAAAGCCTAACGAACACCGAAAAACGCTACTGCCAAACTGAAAAGGAAGCGCTAGGTAGCATTACTTTGGGCCGTTGAGAAGTTTGCTGTATATCTAATCGGTAGAAAGTTTGAGCTTGAAACTGACCACAAGCCGCTAGAAATTATTTTTGCTCCGACATTCACTCCTTGTGCTCGGATAGAAAGATGGGGTTTAAGACTGCAATCTTTCAAGTTCACGGTGAAATACCGGAAAGGTACAGGAAATATAGCTGACTCTCTATCACGTTTGATACCTCCGGAAAATTGCGATGAATTCGAGAAACATAACTATTTTCTTGTGCTGCAAAATCTCGACAGTACACGGTGATATTGACAATTCTGCTTTGGTCACTCATTGGATCTGACAGTCATAGTCAAGGCAAACCATGTTAATTTATTGTCAATGACAATGCTGTCAGTGATGAACATGTGCAGATTTATTTAGTAGCTAAATTTGTAACGAAATTAAATGACTTGAGCAAAACAATTACATGGATCCATTTTAGTGAACAAGTATCTACATCCTGAGCTACTTGGATAACAATAATGTGACACAGAATGTACTAAATTACACTTTTTGTTACCAGGTGAATCTTTGTCATTGACGAAAAAATGAATGAGATTTTGACGAAGGTTTTTTTGAGGATCAAGTCTGTCAGTGACTAGGTATGTGACGAACAATTCAGTCAATATCGCGCGAAAGTCTGTCAGTGACAATGACAAATCTCAGCACTGGTTGGCAATTCAAGAGTCGGTAGCTGTAGACGTTGAAGAGATCGAAAAAGCTGCACGTGATGATCCAGAGATATTAGCTGTAAAAGAAAGTCTTAAGTCTGGAAATTGGAACAGCCCTACAGTGAAACCTTTTGAACCATTTAGGAATGAGCTTGGATTTGTAGGAGAAACTATGGTAAGAGGTAATAAGGTAGTGGTTCCGACGGCTCTACGACATAGGATGATACAGCTGGCTCATGAAGGACATCCGGGTGAGTTTCTCATGAAAAAACGGTTGAGGGATCGCGCATGGTGGCCTATTATGGATCGAGAAGCAAAGGAATTCGTGATTAAATGCGAGGGATGTCAGTTGGTCGGACTTCCCAGTAAACCGGTTCCGATGAGTCGTCGTGAACTGCCATCAAAGCCGTGGGTCGATGTCACGATAGATTTTATGGGTCCACTTTCGTTTGGAGAACATTTGCTGGTAGTAATTGATTATTTCAGCAGGTACATCTCGTGAAACGGTGGATAGACTGAATAAGATATTTATCAGACTTGGATATCCTAGAACCTAGAACAATCACCTTGGATATTGCAAAGCAGTTCATAGGACTGTAAAGTACATGGAATCAGCCTAAATCATTCTGCTCCTTACTGGCCACAGGAAAATGGGCTTGTAGAACGCCAGAACCGATCACTATTGAAGCTGTAGTGATTCCCACTAACTGGCAACACAGTAATGTATGTACGTCATAAACTTTGGATTGGAGAAATATAATAAAAAGTTACTTCCTCGTGTACGCGTGTATTTTAATTCGACTCCTAACATTTTGGCGACGATCGGAGAAAACCGGGATTAAATTCGCTGAGGAAGGCTCTATACGTAATGGAGCAATGATTAAATTCGGTAAACGTGAGTTTACGATTCGGAATAGCGGTTTTACGTGAGAAATAAACCAAAAATAATATTTGGGGTATAACCTCAAATTGACGCCTTTGTGACAAGGACGGCAGACGAGCTGAAAGCAAGACGGAAAACGCATCCGACACTCGGGGTTTTTTCGACGAAGGGAAAGATTGCTGTGAAAAGGAGCCAAAACAAACGTGAAAATAAACAGTGTCTCGCCATAGTTGCGTAAAAGAAGATGGAGAACGGCAAATCTACTTTGTTACCTTTTGACACCAATAACACCGCATCGATTGAAACACGCTGGGTGAAATGGAAGAGATCTCTGGAGTTGTTCCTAGAGGTGAATAGTGTTGCTCTCCCATCCAGGAAGAAGTCGTATCTGCTGCATTTCAGTGGAACACAGATACAGGACATTTTTTTTCGATACACCTGGACACGATGCACCCCCGCCAGCGGACTCGGACGTTTACAAGGAGGCGATAAGATTACTGGATGCTCATTTCCAATGTTCCTTACGATCGGTACGTGTTCCGGAAAATGAAGCAAACTGAAGATGAATCGGTGGAGAAATTCGTCGCCCGTCTTCGAGAGCAAGGGCGCCTGTGCGAGTACGGGAATGCACTCGATATGCGAGTTGCAGAACAAGTGTTTGACAACAGCCGATCGGACGAGCTGCGTGAAGTGATTATTAAGAAGAAGTTGATGAATGTGGAAGAAATCGTGCAGGAGGCACGGATCTTGGAAACAGTGAATCGTAATAAGGAGGATATGAAGAGAAATTCGGCTCCTATGGGCCAAAGCTGTGTGAACCAAATCAAAAAGGGTGCGAAGAAAGAAAAGTGTTTCCGATGCGGAAATGTTGGACATTTTGCCAACGATAAAAGTTGGCCCGCGAAAAACAAAGTGTGTGATAGCTGTAAGCTAGTGGGACATTTCCGGAAAATGTGCAAAACCAAGCCGGAGAACCGAAAATCGAAGGATAAATGAAGCAAGAAGAAGGTGTGGCAAGTTCAAGATTCCGAAGACGAGAGCAATGTCCCAGGCGGCAGCGAAGATAGTGACGACGACGTTCAGCACATTTACGCTACCGGAAATAAACACGATCTGGTGACATGTTACACAGGTGGTGTAAAATTGGATTGGATTGTCGACACCGGCGCTCACGTTAACGTCATCAGCCGAACTACATGGCGTCATCTGAAACAGCACGGATGTAAATTTACCGACGTCCAGAAATCACGGAAATTTCTGCGGGTCTACAGTAACGGTAAACTAACAGTTCACAAGACTTTCAAAACGGAAATTACCACCCGTTCGAAGCGTGTATGTTGTGGATAACGAAACAGGGGCTAATTTGCTGTGCAAGAGTACATCGTTGGAGCTGGGAATCCTGGAGATTCATGCAGAGGCGTTTTGTGTGTCAGACATTGAGGACCCTAAGGTGGAAAAGGTGAAGAATTTGCAGGTGAAAGTTCAGATTAACAAGGAAGTGGTGCCAATTCAACAACCATGCAGGCGTTTACCGATTCCCCTACAGGACGTAGTTGAAGAAAAGCTGAACGATCTATTAAAGCAGGATGTAATAGAACTGGCGCCGTTGAAGATTACATGGGCATCACCTTTGGTAGTCACGTCGAAAGATGGAGGGAAAAGTGTATGCCTGTGTGTTGACATGCGTATGGCTAACAAAGCTATAATCCCCGAACGACATCCGTTACCAACATTCGACGAAATAATGCCTCATTTAGACGGTTGCAAGTATTTTTCGAAGATTGATCTGGTGAAAGCTTTTCACCAAATCGAATTGGATCCAGATTCCCGAGAAATAACAACCTTCGTGACTCCGTTCGCATACTACCGTTACAAGCGTCTAATGTTCGGTATGAACTGCTCCGCTGAAATATTCCAACGGGAAATTGAGCGGATCTTGAAAGGCCTAAAAGGAATTCGAGTATTTATCGACGACATTCTTATATATGCGAAGACGAAGGAAGAACATGACGCCAGAGTACAACTGGTTCTAATGCGGCTTGACGAACATGGATTGACGGTCAACATCAAGAAGTGTGAGTTTGGAAAGAGGTCCGTAAACTTCATGGGTCACACCCTGTCAGAGCAAGGCATACTGCCAATGAACGATAAGATAAGTGCCATCCAGTCTTTTCGGTATCCGCAAAACTCAGCCGAAATGCGCAGCTTTCTAGGGCTAGTGAACTATGTTGGCAAGTTCATTCCAAATCTCTCAGAGATGTCGAGTACGCTACGGCAGATGACAATCAAGGGTGCCAAATCTGAATGGACTGGAGAACGACGACAGGTGATTTTCTCGGACCGCTACCGGATAACAGTTACATATTTGTGCTGATCGACCTCTACAGCCGATACGTTTTGACGGAACGGATGACTCGAACAACCTCACGTGACGTGATTCGTTTTTTGAGGGATACATTCACCAGGATGGGACTTCCGCTAGTACTGACATTCGACATTGCTAGAAATTTTTCAAGCGAAGAGATGAAAAACTATTGCTTCGACCATGGCATCAAGCTGACTCACTCATGTTCGACCGAAACATATACACAGTGATTAGAAGAACAGGTCCAAAGGTAACAATTGAAGATTCAGGAACAGGGAAAAAATATGAGAGGAATGTTGCACACGTGAAGAAAGTTCCTCCATCTGTAATAACCTCATCAACAACGGATTCTGAAGCATTTCCTACTACTTCAAGAACGCAAGATAATGAAGCAGGATCGTCTTCCATTAACGCAAGCCTAGAACTCGAAGAAAATTTCGCTGGATTTGATGATGAAGAAGGTGATGAATGGACTGAAGCCATAGGAAAGGAACCCCGAGTTCGTAAATTACCTAGTAAATATAGAGATTATATTATGTAGTTGTGGAGAGCTATTGTTGATTTCTTAACTTAAGTTAATTTAAAAAAAAAGTAGAAGAGTCTGTGCCTAGGGGCACGAACGGAAGCTTGACGTAGGACCGCTAGTGGACGGAACAAATGTGAAGAGCATTTAGTTATTTTAATTGATCGATCATCTATTAACTTAACTCTTTACGTTTTTGAATTGTAGGCGTACCAAATTTGTTTGATGAAGAGAATCGATCAAAATCACTTTCACCCTTGCTTCCAAGTTTGGTTACAAGATTACAACTCTGGAGAACATTTTGTGTGGTCGTTGAGAGCGTGTGGTTCTGAATATGAACAAACAGGCACAGATAAGTTCTATCCCAACTCTTAACTGTAATAAGCTTGTTGGCCCTGAAACAGTTGCCAAAGTTGGTGATGATTTAACCACAGACAAACAGACTTAACTGTTTGAAAAAGTTTTGCTTGAAAACATAGTATCTCAAACCATAGGACCTCAGTAACGACATCTCTCGGGCTTCTCGCGGAAAACAAGCTTGCTCGCTAGCTCGTAAACAAAATTGCATAAAAGTTCTATAGAATGTATAGAAACGTCAAAGTGATCCGCTGCCAGCGCTGCGGCGAGTAGTTCGCGGAACTTATAATATTCAAATCAACCGTTAAATGCGTGAACGAAGATACACCATGAAGTGTTACGTCTGTTTGTCTGTGATTTAACCTCCGAAACCGTACAGAGTGCGTCTCTGTCACTTCAAAGCGTAGACGACATCCATTGGCGCTTACGCTTGGCGTGTTCAGAGTAGGTGACAGCATCACGTATCACATTTTCCAGGAACATTCAGCACATCTCGTGTTTTCTCGTAGATCAGACCGGAGATATGTTTGACACCACCATGGCGAGCCAGACGACGGATGGCGGTTATCACGAAGAACTTTGCGATGACGCTTGGCGCCTCCTTTGCCACGACCAGTCATTGTTGCTTGTTAGGTAGAATAGTGAACTACCTAACCTGCCACCATCTTCCTACTGCTGCTATTGATGCTTCTGCTACTTGATCACCACGTTGTCCGAAGCGAAAATGAGGTGAGGCTAGACAGCAGCGCTCTTTTATATCTTTTCAGGTTAAAGCTGAATGATGTGCAACCAAGTGGTACTCGATTATGACGGCTGGGTTTGGGAAGAACGTTTATTGCATTAAAACAGTGATAAAATTGTCACTTTTTACTTGTACATTGGACAATGCTTGACCTTACCACTTTTTCAATAGTTTCTTATTAAAAATCGTCAGTCGGAAGCATTGCTATTGATGCGTCGAAATATTTCTGATCGATTGGTGATAAAATTATTGAAATTGGTCCAGGGGCAGCTGAGTTATTAATGTTCAAAATCTTTCATAATTGTGTTACATGTTCCATTTTCGGTTTTCACAAAGTGTACCCCCATATAGAAATCACAGACGTAGTCCTACGTCAAAAAATATTTCAATTCTTAAATTAAAAAAAAAAAAACAGAACAAAAGGAGATGTGCTAGTCGACAGATGTAAATCAGTAGGCTTTAACGACGATCTGGACTTGGTAAGCAGGATGTTATTCCAGACGCAGGCTATCGTAGCAGAAACAGACGTGCCAAGAGGCGACCCAACACTGATAGATTGGCGCAGGAAGGAGCTGAACGTCTGGTGTCGGATTATTTCTCCGATAATTTGACGTACTAAAACGACCTATTTCGAAGAGGGTTCCGGGGATGAAACGAGACCTATTCTTGCGCATCGTGGATGATGCTCAAGCTTTTTTTTATATCTTTATTAAGGAGACTTTCAGCCGTTGGCTGGCTCGTCTCCGCGTTGATGCTCAAGCTGCCAATGTGTACTTTGTCCAACAAGCGGATGCAACTGGGAAGCTTGGTCTAAGCACTGAAGAATATGGTCTTTAGCCAAACATCAACTTAACTTTAACGGAACTTTAACATATAAACTTAACTTTGCTTTAACTTCAATTTAACATAAGCATAACTTTAACTTCAGTGTTCACTCGGCTGTCGACAGAAGCAGACCACTCTCAATGTGTGTCACGCGATCGTCGATACGTCGTCGACTTTGGAAAGCAACCGTTTCGTGATGAATGTGTGAGTGCTGACCACGTTTTGCGTCCATTGCTGCAATGGAAGCGCTCTGACCTCCGTTGGCGAATCTGCCATACAATGAAACCAGTGGAAGCGGCTCCCGTTCTGTTTTTTTGCAATTGTAATAAAAACATTGCTTCATTGTCAGCAATATTTATTCTTACAAAATAAAAAAAGAGCATTAAATATTTCATTGAATTGTACATACAAGTTTTGATTGACTTTCAATTTTCAAGAGTTTTCGTCATCTCAAATTCTTGAATTCAACGGAGAAAAATAACATCGTCAATTGAAAAGGACAATGCTTCAAACGAATCAGCCCTTTAAGCTTTTGTTTTGGATTGTCGGAGAGGCAGTTGGATTCCGGAAAGGGACATCAAAGTGGATGCAATTCGGACAATAGTCGAGAGAGCCGAGAATGCGTCCAAACAGAAGCGAAGAGGAGATCGATATTGCGCCGTGATAACAATCAATGTCAAGAATGCGATCAAATTGTGTTAATGAGAACTCACAATCTATCCATAAATGGCCGAATTATAAGGGTATCTAAAACCATTTCGTTACACTTTCAGTTTGGCAAATTTCTGATGATATTCCACGCTGACGTTGTTTGTAAGTCAAATTCGTAGAATTATGAATTTACCTCCTAAGGAACGTTCTTTCCATTCCATCGGTTATGCGATCAATCAAAAGATAAATTCAGAGGAACTATTTATTCGTCGGCTAGCTATCGGATAGCAGCTCCGGTTTTCTATCGCCGCCACCTTTCTCCCGCGGTTCGTGTATCCTCCGATGGAACGACAGTGCGTTCAGCCGGGCAAAATCCTTGCCACATACATCGCAGACAAATTGCTTCTCTCCGGTATGGAGTGTCATGTGCACCTCCAAATCCCGACGCGTCACGTGCCCTCGATTGCAGACCTCACAAACGAACGGCCGATCGTTGCTGTGAATCCTCTGATGCACCTTCAGGTAGCTTTTGCAAGTAAACGTTTTCTCACATTGCGGACACGGGAATCGAATGCCCGTGTGGGCCGTCTGTTCGTGCTGTTGCAACAAATACCGATTGGTGAACTGCTTTCCACACTGGCCACACTCGAACGGCTTCAGACCCAGGTGTCGATTTTTGTGATCCAGGAGAGCTTTCTTACTTTTGAACGAAGCCTGTTTGCAAATGTTGCAGCGAAATGTTTTCTCCTCCGAGTGCGTCCTCAAGTGGCTAGTTAGGTAGCTTTGCTTCAGGAAACCTTTCCCGCAAATGTTACAGGAAATCGCGTAATTGCCGGTGTGATTGGCCAAGTGTTCGTTTAGGCCATTTTTCGACTTGAATGCTTTGGGGCAGTTTTCTACGGGACAGCTAAACGAAGTCACGTTGAGGTGTGTATTTCGGTGCAATTTCAGCTTTGTACGGGTGGTACACACTTTCCCACAGATATCACATGTTCGGTCGTTTGGAGCTTGCAAAATGGGCGTTTCCTCGGTGGTGACTTCTGGCTCAATTTCAACAGGACTTTCATCAGACGCCAATGGGGGAGCAACGATTTCCTCGGGTGGCTCATACTTAGTGGGTTCTTCAATTATCTGCTGAATTTGAATTTCTGAAATTGACTACATTTGTTTAGTTAGATATGATAACGTTCGGTTGAGATAACCCACACAAAACTCACGGCATCTCTGTTGTCGTCTACGGTTTCGATTCCCACAAAATCATCATAATCGAGATCATCCTCCGGTACCGTTTCGGAAATTGTATAACCAACAGATGCATTCTGCTGAGCAATCGATTCAACTATTGCTTCCAAATTATTGAAGCAAGTTTCCTCGCTAGGCATGACGCCATCCGAACCGGATGACTCCACCATGGGAATGTACTTTTCCTCCTGCTGGTTCTGCTGAATTGAAATCTCCAGTTCTTTTTTCAACTGAAATATCACATTACTTTTTTAATCGCAAATTTAACAAACAAAATGTGTTTACCTTCAGAGCTTCCACATTAGCTGAGAACGAGATATCTTCCTTCTCCAGACTTTGAATAATGTACTCATAATCTTTGTTGGTATTTCCGTCCAACATAAAGTCATTACCGGGGAAACTGATTTCCGGCAGTATCTGCTGGTGTACATCGTGCTGATGATGATGATGATGATGATGCTGTTGCTGTTGCTCTTGTTGATGCTCGATAGCAGCTTCCGCCTGACAAAACATTAGCATTTCTGAAATAGCATCATCAATTATATCATCCTCTCTCACAACCAAACCTTCCAAACTTACCACTGAAGAACGCCTGGCATTTGCGGCAATTTTCCCGAAACTCGTGAAAGTAGTCCAACTTGCAGATGCACTCGCTGCACACGAGCTTGGAGAAGATTTGCGGCTCGTTGTCGCTAACTTCCAGGGCGATACATTCCAGAATCTTTTTCGGCAACTCCCGGAGCAGCCCGTCCGGGGAGTTGATGTACATTCCGTACGATTGTTCGCACTTTTTCAAACACAACCGACAGGGGTCTCCGCTGGGCGGAAGCTGGAGCGTGTCCATCTGCGCGGCTTCCATGGACAGATGAAAAATTTAAGGATGAGATTCAAGATATTGGTGAAATCACTGGAATTTTATTCAAACCCGAATCGCTTTGTCAGACAGGGGTTGACAGGAAAACAAAACAGCTGAGTTTTGTTTTGATTACCATCAGGTCGATGACAGCACAAGAAAATAATATTTTGCGGGGGATGATACATGGAATTTGTTAAGGCACGATCAATAAAAATGTGAGGAACACAGCCCTCATAAAGGTAGGGGCGGGATGTGCAGTCAAATCAAGGGGGAGGTGGCTGTGAAATACGAACAATCGTCGCTTATCTCGCATAACTGGTTCCAAACGTAAACAAGCCATAAGAAACCTACAGGGTTTGTTTACGTTTGGAACCAATTTCATACAAGAATGATCAGTAGGCTGATTTGACAGCACGTCCCCCCCCAGAGTCAGCCCCCAAAAGAGATGTAAATGTGTAAGGCTCATTGAGTTTGTCATCTCTCCCGCTGTTTAAACGGTTGAGGAGTGTGACGCCAAACTTCGTCATCCATTTAATCATAATTTTGATCGTAGGATTCCCACCTGTTTACACTCAAGGATTTTCCCTATCTGAATTTGGTTCCAAACATCAACAAACCATCGTTACTTATGGCTTTGTTGTCGTTTGGAACCAGTTATGCGAGGTAGGCAACGATTGTTCGTATTTGACAGTCACCTTCAACCCCTCAGGATAAACGTGAACCATACCAAAAGTTGTTAAAAATGGTGCTAAAGTTTTACTGAAATCAACTTTGCACATCTCAATTTGTGCCGTGAATTTTATCTGCATGTGCCGAATGCGTTGTGCCGGACTGTAATTGTACCTGGGCATCAATTCATCCTACCTTTTTTATAGATAACTTGTCTTAGGAAATTGATTTCACTTTCTACTCGGGTCTTCCGCGCAAATGTGTCAAAACAAGACCAACAATTGAAAAGGACTCAACTTCATTTTGTAAACAAACCTTGTAAGGCCATTTTCTCGCGAAACGAAACATACATTCGCAAACCAAAAACCGCAATCGGGTAGAGGAGAATTTCTCCTACCTGTTAATTTTGTTGGTTTGCGTTGGAGGACTTCGGATCGCGACAAAATAGCTTTAAAAGGTTTGTTTACAAAATGGAGTTGAGTCCTTTTCAATTATTGGTCTTGAAAATATCAACATTTATCAACACAATTCTTGCTGCGTATTACTATAGCGAATCATTAAGGAATTTTAAAATAAAATAAGAATTTAGTTTTACATGATCAAAGCCAAACGATGGGTATTAGACATCTAGAAACTTATGTGTGCTCTGAAGTTCGCAACGGATTTGTTAAAACTAACATTGAGTTTGAAATCAAGTAAGTTCCTGGTATCTCAACGAAAAAAAAAAACGTTTCAAAATAATATTATTATCTTCTATAGCAAATACTATGTCAGGGCTAATCAACCGAACCCTCCACCACCGATTATCGTCATTGATCTGATGTCCCTATACCGCCCGGTGAGCCATGCGGACCTTCCAGGATTGCTGTGCGGAGGACGATTCAACCAGGTCGCACATTTGCTGGAACAGTTCTTCGTCAGGATAAAGAACCTCGGTGCAGAATTGGTATTCTTTTACGATGGACCAGTGCAAGATACTAAATACGATACATGGACGCAGCGCCAGGATGAAAAATACAACAAAATTATGGAAATAATCGATTCCGTGGACCGTGCATCCGATCTTGCTTGGATGGCAAGCCGATTCCGGAATTCCATTCCTAATAATACTTTGTATCCGGTTAGGCAGATGGCATCGAAGCACGGTGAATTGATTATATCTATTGCGAAGGAATGCGACCAGGAACTGGCTGCCTATGCCAATCAGGTTCAAGCGATAGCCATCATATCGAATGACACCGATTTTATGATATACAAGGGATTCTGGCGGTACTGGTCGGCTAAGGATATTCATTTCGAAACGCTAGACACGATGGAGTACAACCGATTGGCGCTGGTTCGAAACATGGGGTTGAGTTTCAAGCAGATGCGACTTTTGGCCACTTTGGGTGGAAATGACGTCATCAAGTACGAAGAAGTAAGACATTTTCATTCGAAGCTGGGTAGCCCCAGGGAGAAGTTTCCCAGACTGGCGGATTTTGTACGGCAGCAAGCATTGCCTGAAAGCTTGCACCAAGATAAAATACTCTGTAGTTTGCTGAACCATGTTTTTGGAAAAGCTGCTGTAAACGAAGATTTGAAGGAACGTTTCTTAGCTAGTTTGGATTTCTACGAAACCGTGAGTTATTTGCTTGTAACTTTTAATGTTCCAGTTAACTCTTACACTCTTCTATTTTGATCGTAGGATTACCAGCCTCAAAATACGAACATTATAGATGATCCAGTCGTTGATGTCCTCCTCAAACTGGAGAACACTTTTTTATTTCAAATTTGGGTAGGTCGCCCCGTTAATGTAACTGCCTTTTTTGTAGACATGAGAAGGGGAGAATTTGGGGAGCATTATCCACACCTGGTGATCCCGTTAGTGATGCGTCAAGCGGGAGTCGTGCTCTACCACAGGCAAATGCTTTCGGACAGTTCAACACGGAAGATTATGATCAAAATGTCCCACGATGCTGGCCACTCGTTTCAAAATCTACCGGTTGAATTTCCACAGCATATTACGCCCCCTCCTCTATTGGATTTGCTGTCTCGGCAAATCGATATCCAAACAAGCCTGCAGGATATCAAACGGCAACTATTCGCTTGGATCGCATCCGATACCTTGGACCACCGTCGATTGCAGTCAGTACCGGACCGATTGCTTGCTCCGGTGGCTACCTTGTACTATCTCGTGGAGAAACATATCCTCGATGTGTTCGAAGCTGATGTCCTGCTGCAGGTATCCCATGACGTAGTATTCCAGACGTACGACTTTCAAGCCGTTAAATATCCTACCATGTTAGGGAAGCGTCCGTTCCGTATAGCATTTCTTTATCTGAAGATCTACAACCACTTCAGCAAAATACGCACGCTGCTCGGATTCGATGAGGAACCGTTTTTGTTTTTTGACGGAGTGCTTTTCCACAATCGCTATGCGGAGGCGGTGAAACAAGCTGCCAGCTTGGAACAGATCAAACAGTGGAGAATCTACGATGTATTGGTCGAGAAGTAGATGTTCATTTGTTACCTATTATATTACCATATTTAAGATGCTTGGAGATCTTTACTATCTTTATGTTTTTGAGTAATGATAAGAGTGTACAAAAGAAGTGCAATGAAGTTGAAGCAATAGCTGAAAAAAAAAACACGTGTGCAATTTATTTTATCAGCTGAAATTCCTCTGCTGGATGGAAACCGCGAGGGTCACGGCCAACCAGAACGGCTCAGCGACTGAATTCAATTGACTCGGAGCATTTTCTTTCCATGCGAAATTCACTCATATTTTTGAAAACCTGCAGGTTGATTGATTGATTTCTTTATTATAGAGACTGGTTCGTCTCTGAAAAGATAGTGTGGGGTCCAGAAGGAACCTCATCTAGTTACAAAGTTTTTTTTTTTTTTTTTCGTTTTTTATCATGTTAAGAGGTCTATAAGACACCTCCTCTAGTTAAATACTGAGGCTGTCAATGTGCTGTCTTTCTTCGGAGTTTTGGTTGTTAAGTTGCTGAGGATCTTGCTTTGGTTTGAGATGTTGGGTGATAAGAGAAAGTCCATTTGTATTGCGGTGGTCGGGTTTTTGGCAGGTTTCATATTTGGTCGAAGAGGCCGGCCTCGCGGAGGAAGCCCATTAATGCTGTGATTCTAGTCGGGTCGTTACTCAGTGCGTCCTTAATGCTGCCCGGCATGCCGTACAGCACTCGTGAGCCTTCGTATTGAGTACAGTGGCAGATTATGTGTTCCACTGAACAGTTGGTGCGGCAGAGCTCACAAAATTTCCGGAACGGGCCGCTCCCAGAACAGTTATGCGAGACTCTGGTATGGCCTGTTCTGAGTCTTGCCAGGACAACCTGAGTTCGGTGGTCAGGGGGGTCTTGCCATCTTCGTGTGTCAGCCTTCACTTTTCTAAGGAAAATGCTAGTTGATTGGGACCATGTATTTGACCATAAGTCCCAGATTTTGTTGGCAACCCATTTTTTCAGGTCCCCTGATGGAACCTCCTTGGTGAACAGTTGGGCTCGTCTTCCAGAAGCCGCTAGATGATCCGCCTCCGTATTACCACGAATGCCGCAGTGTCCCGGAGTCCATACAAATGAAGTGTTTCTGGGGGCATATCGCTGAATGGCTTGGATCCATGAGTGCTTAATAGAGCCTGAGTTGAGGGCTAAAACTACACTTGCGGAGTCCGTAAATACGGCAATCGGCTTGTTTGAGGGAGTGGTAGCAGCAATAAAAGCAGAGACCGCTTCTGCCGAGAATATAGTGTACTGGTCTGGAAGTCGATGAAGTACGGATATTTGGGGGCCCGTGATGCCGATGCCAACCACTTCACGGGAAACCGATCCATCGGAGTAACGGATAGTGTGGTTGCAGTATCTGGTTCTCTGGAGTTCCGCGACGGATCTCACAAGTGCCGTAGAGTTGGATCCTGCCTTGAACTTCTTCTTTATCGCCAAGTCGATAATGGGCCCGGGCAGGTTCCAATCTCTGGTTCCACACCAATGTAAGCTAGACACCGGGGGGAGCTCCAGATTGGCGGTGGCTGAAAGGAGTTGTTTGGCCTCGGTAAGGAGGAAAACTCCTTCATCTGAGCCAGCTGTCTTCTCCTCGAAGCTAATTGATCGGTTACAGATGGTCTGAGTAACTAGAAGGTTGAATGGTAGTACCCCACTTTCCACGCAAGCTGCAATTGCAGGCGTGGATGGTAGTAGGCCGGATGAGATACGGATTGCTTGGTGGTATGTAGAGGCTAGTTCCGTAATAAGTTGTTCGCGAGCGAGACAGGTAACTTCGATTCCGTAAAGGAGACGTGATTCTAAAATTGTTCTAGCAACTCGAAGACGAATGGGCCGGTTACTGTCTGGGTGTCGACCTGCGATGGATCGTAGCAGATTAAGACGTGTCTTGCAGGCTTTCTTGACTTCGTCAAAGTGGGCAGAAAAGGTCAAATATCGGTCAATTCGAACTCCGAGGATACGGGCTGACCTCCTGATGGGAATAGCTGTACCATTGATACAGATGGGAGTGTTAAGGACGGCATGATGGTGAGAGCAGATGTGTACTAGTGTGCATTTTTCGGCTGAGAGTTGGAAGCCAGTAAGTGATGTCCAAAGGGAGACTGCCCTTGTGGCAGCGCTCATCTTTCTACGTAGTGCCTTTATGGTTTTGTGAGTGATCAGGAGGATAATGTCGTCAGCGTACACAAAGATGTAAATTTCCTTAGGAAGGTTAACGAAAACTCCATTCATACAAATTAAGAAAAGGGTGACCGCGATAACCGAACCCTGTGGTACGCCAGTCTCCTCTCGGAATGTTGCGGAACGGTGGTTTCCCAGAAGTACCTGAAAGGTGCGGTTTGCCAAGAAATTCTTCACGAAATGCATCAGGTGCCCGCCAAGGCCCCAATCAGCCATTTGTCGGATGACATCTGGCATCCAAGCTCTATTATATGCTTTTGCTATGTCTAAAGCTGCCAGTTCGACGTGGTGTCCGCTCGAGGTAGCGTCATCAAGGGCTTGGGCAAGTGTGGCAAAGTACGTGTTTGTACCGTGTCCTGGACGAAAGGCGTGTTGACGGTGGTCAAGTAGGTCCCTGGATTCTAGAAAGTTCATCAGTCGTCTATTTACCATCCGTTCCACGATTTTGGAGGCACAGCATGTGAGGGAGATCGGCCTGAAATCACTAGCTTGTCTGCCTTGCTTTCCTTGCTTGAGGATCGGGACCACGAGACTGTGCTTCCAATCCTGAGGCAGGGAGTTGTGCAGCCACTCCTGGTTGGTTAGATCTAGAAGCTTGCGTCTTCCTTCTGGTGGTAGATTCCGGAGCAAAGGATAGCCCACCTCGTCCGGGCCCGCAGAATTGCCTTTAGCCTTTGATAAGGCTAGAGCGAGCTCGTTCATCCGGAAGGGTTCGTTTATTTCCGGCACAATTGTTTCCTCTGGAATTGGCATGCTGGCTATCGGGGGTGTCGAAGCAACTTCGTAGCCTTCTACGGCTGAGAGAGAGGCAAAGTATTCTCCAAGCACATCGGCAATAGTATCTGAATCGCGGGTAATTCCTCCTTCATATTTAAGAGCGATTCCCCGGTTTTTTCTCTTCCCACTTAAAGCATTAACCTTTCCCCACAGATCAGCTGCCGATTGGTTAGGGCTGATTTCGTTGAGAAAGTTCTCCCAACTTTGGGCTTTCGCTTCGCGTATAGTTTGCCGACATTCGTTCCTTTTTGCACGGTAGTGAGCCAAAGCAACCTCCTTGTCGGGGTGGTTTTTATTTAATCGCTTGGCGGCACGAAGAGCCTTTCTCCTGGCTTTCACAGCGGAAGGGCTTTTCGTCCTGGGATGGTACTAGATCGAGGAATAGTGTCTGTTGCCGCTTGAAAAATCGAACCTATGTAGTCCGAGAGGTTGGTCGGTTCGGATTCTCTGCAGGTACCGGTGATTGCCTCTTGATAATTTGTCCAATCTGCATGATTGTAGATCCAGCGTGGTCTACGAGAGGCTTCGGTTGGTCTACAGTCGAGTCGGATTTCGATGGGGTGGTGGTCGCTACCCATCGGGTCTTCCATGACCTTCCATAGAAGTCGATGGATTGTTCCTGAGCTGGCGAAAGATATGTCAATTGCGGATTCCCTTTGTCCACTTATGAAGGTTGTGGATCCATCATTTAGAGGAGTTAGATCAACAGTTTCAGCCGCTTCCAGGACATCTATGCCCCTGCGGTTGTTTAGAGGGCTGCCCCAAGCTTGGTGATGGCCGTTTACATCACCCAGGAGAAGTATTGGGCCGTCGATGGAGAGGAGTAGGTCAATTAACTTTCCTTTAAGTCCAGGGATCTTCTGACAGGGAAGGTAAACAGAGATTACAGTGACTGCTAGCGGATATTCGAGTCTTATAGCAGCCACAGGTAGCTCAGTAGATAGCGGAGTGGTGGTGAAGGGAAGAGTTGCTTTGATTCCGATAGCAGTGCCGTGGCGAGTGTTGTGGTTGGTTCCCATCACCCAACGATATTGTCCCGCGAGAGTCCGGTCCATTCTATCAGTGCTAGCACGATGCACTTCTTGGATAGCCAGAATAGATGGGTCATGACCCCGGACGAGAATCTCCAGGTCGCTAAGGTTGTTTTGGTATCCGTTCATGTTCCATTGGATGGCAAAGCATGAGCCGAATGGGGAGGGTGATTCTGGGTCCATATTTGACCTTGAGCACCGTTGGTCGTGTGTCGGCGATTTTCTATTAAGAGGATCGTCAGCTTGGGTAAGCACAGGAGACTGTTGCTGTGTTGATATTGTTCGCTGGGTCACCAGCTGGCTGTAGGTTGTGTCATTGGCTTGAGTGTTAGTTGGTGGTTCGCGTACATTTCGTAGTCTCTCCTATCTTCGGTAGGATGTGGTAATGGATTTCGTACTGTCGTTCTTGTTGAATGATGTGGGAGGTATGGACCCTAGCGGAGCTCCATCGGCAGAGGGGTCTAGAGCTGTTCCCGCTATCGGCAGAGGTAACCGAACCGTTTCACGTAGTATTGAGGGTTTGTGCGAGTTGGTCTCTGTGCGTGATGAAGGCTTCAACGAGGGTCCCGCTGTTGGTAAGGTTGTGCCTAGTGTATTTAGTTGCAGTGCATCATAAACAGCTGCGTTTGAGAGTGCATTCGAGGGTAATGCAGATCTAGTGGGAATTCGTTGTGATCTCCTTTGGGCTGTTGTGGCAAGAATTGGGGTTTTTGTTATCGCCTCATCGCGCTTCTTTTCCACGTAATGCTGAGGGGGAAGGGATCTTACTTCCGTTTTCGACCCTTGTCCGGGCGTCAACAGATTTTCAATAGTGTAAAGTCCCGTTATACGACCCGCCAAAGACAGAATTGTCGGCTCTTGAGGCCTGGTTTTCGTTTTAGTTAAAGGTGTCTTCGTTCCCACGCTGTCCATAGGGGGATAGAAGCTAGCTCCCTTGTCCGTCCCTCTACCGGTCCTCGCAGGGAGCCGAGGGTTGTCCGCCGGTTCTGGTTCTTGAATGACGTCCGCACCGACGGGGCCACTGCTTCCCCACGATCCAACCGGATAAGTCGATACAAAACGTTTGTTTTTATTTCCAGAGTTTACCAACGAGTGCCGGGGGTTGTCTGCCAGTTCCGGTTCTACATTGACGTCTGCACTGACAGGGCCCCGACTGTCCGAGGCCTTATCTGGTATGGTAGGGGTGTTTGGTCGAGAGACAATGATTGGCGAGCTGGTTGTATGGTCATGGTTTTGACTAGAGTCCTCCTTAGTAGCTTCAGTTTCATCACTGTATCGAATGGGTGACGAGTCCATTGATATGAAAAAGAATGCGGCTTTCTTTGCGCTGGTGTAGGGGAGGACTGGATGGCAGTTGGGTTTATGGTTCCATCAGTGGGTCCTGACTGCCCCGCATATCATCATCAGACGCGACTGTGAAGTCCATGGATGCTGATGGGGAGTCAGTGATATCTTCGTGGTTTTCTTCTGAGTCTGAGATGGTCGGAGTAGAGTTATTTCCCTTGATTCGTTTGGTTGCGAGGTCGATGCTATGCTGTTTTCTGATTGATTTCTTTTTGGCTCCTGTATTCTGAGAGAGTTTTGTGTTTTGTTTTGAGTCCAGTTTTGGCTGATCCGGAGTTGTTTGCGTAGATTCTAGCTGATGCGGTTTTGTTGTTGCTGGGTTTTTCGGTAACTGTTGTTGCTTATCTTCTCTGCTGTGTTTGTGCGTAAGATGGGGTAACTGGTTTCTTGGTACTGTTTACGGAGCGAAGCACGAAGATCTCCCTATCTTTTTTGGCGACGGTTTCTTGGAGGTGTTGTACTTGGATAACAAGGTCTTCGATGGTACCATGTTTTCTAGTTAGTTCTAGTCTGTTGCCTTTCCGAAGGGCTGCCTCTAGAGCCTCGATTCGATGATCTTTCCTTTGTAGTTCTATGCGAAGGTCGACGATTGCTTGTCGCAGCTCGTTGATGACGTCAACGTTCGTGGTGGTTGAGCTTTCATTCAGTTTTAGCTCCAGGGCCTCAATCTTGCGATCTTTCTCAGCGAGTTCACGTGTGACATTGTCGAGTTTGGCGGATAAGTCGGCAATCGCTTGGTCCTTGCTAGCGTTAGCCACACCGGCAAAGGACTTATTTCCAGTAGCCGCCTCAAACATTTTCCTAGCAGCAGCGTCAACCCTAATGTGTTGAATGGCATCTTCCGTTTGGTAAACCGGACAACTTCGACTTGCGATCGCATGGCTATTGGTGTTGCATCTAGGACAGAAGGGAGGGTTCAAGCATCGGAGACCTTCGACGATGGCATGTTGCTGGGAGCATTGTCCACAAGTTTGGGTTGGCTGTTGGCATCTCAATTTGGTATGCCCAAAGCTGAAACAACGGTAACATAACATCGGTGCCGGGTAATAAGGTCGAGTTTTGCATCGGTGTTAACCGACATCGATGTATTCCGGGACCCTAGTACTATTTACAGTGAGAATTACTGTAGCTGTATTCACTCGATCGTTTCCGCTGGCTGCTTTCCTCGTGATCCTCCGGATTTGTGAGATGTTTTGTGTTTTCAGGTACTCTAAAACCTCCTCATCTTTTACCTTCACCATATCCTGACAACTAATCACGCATCGAACAGCATTGAGGTTGACATGCTTGGTGATTTTTATTTCCGTGCCATCGAGTAGCTGGGTCATCTCAAGGAGCCGGTCCATTTGCCATTTGGAACGTACTTTGAGTGCGTATGACTTTCCTCTGGCCTCAGAGGAAACACCGTCGATTTTTCCTTTGATCCATGACTCGATCGAAGCACGGATTAGGAAGGGATGTTCTGGAAGTTTTTGTGCGTTCGATGCTGCTTCCATCCTGAGAACAACAAGCTCTCCGTGCAGGCCTTGTGGGTCCATGAAAGACGGCAGAGTAGGACCAGCGGGTGATCCATCAATTAGGTTAGAGGGTCCTCCTCCAGGGTCGCCCGGTAGAGGGGGAAAGCCCACATCCAGCGACATGGCTGGTGGGCAAGTAAAGATAGGTGTTTGGTAGTCAGCAGCTCTTCTTGTTGTCACTTTCCAAGCAATCGCACTAGTTAAATACCCGTCTGTTCAAATCAATTTCGATACGAACCACCGTTAATCAGTTCACTACGTACACGCTATTCCCAAAGTTTGTTTGCAAGTTCCTACAGTTTGCTTGCAAGTTTGTTGACGTTTGTGTTATCGAGAAGCAAATGGCTGTTTTGCAGCCACACCGATGCAAGAAGAATCACCACACTTTAGAATCAAATTAGCGTTCACTATATGATCAAATTGAAAGTTTTCCGCGTTGGGCTCACTCCTCGTTTGCCCCTGAATCCGTCTCGACGTACAGCGGGAATTAATAACCGTGCCCTCACTTGTAAATAACGTAAAAACACTAGTCAAGGCAATCCGCGTCTGCAGATTACCGTACTGTCGTTGTGTGTGAAACCTGCAGGAACTCATAGCTAATGAGCTGAGTACTGCGGACTCACTCAATGTGCTTCTAACTTTTTTATGGCACAGACTAAAGAGCCTGAATTTATAAATTTAGGCTCTTTAGCACAGACCTGTTGGTTCATATTTTACTCAATGTGCTTGTCACTTGGGAGCCAGCGTGAACTGTCAAACGGGAGCCAAACATTCTGAAGCAACAATTGCAGTTACTGTTCTTATCCATCGTCAAGCATTGTAATCTCATGAAAATTCTCCGTACTTTTTCTTAAAACATTCTTAATGTTAAGCTTAAAGACAAAAACCAGCAGGCTCAGTGATGAAAGTATAAAAACCAGTTTTCCATTGGCTTGCAAATTAAAATTGAACAACTCCGCAGCACCCAGCTAATGAGCAACTGCAGGTTTTTCTAAATATGAGTAAATTTCGTATGGAAAGACCACCTTAGAAAGTTTGTTTACAAATGCTTTTGTGCCGTTATCAAATGTTATGCCTGACTTGTGAAACAGAAAAGAAAACAAACCTCAAAGGAGTAGGGCAACAAATTTCGGATTTGACTGAAAACCCGAACTATGGTTAGTATTGTAGTTTTTATTCTTTTGTGTAGTTATGACCTATTACGACTTGGGGAATGTAAGAGACAATATCGTTGGAATTTGTTTTTCAAGCCAAACATTACGAGTTGGTACTGGTATAGAATTGAAGGAATCTTCATTTGCTGAGTATGTTGCTCCGAGGGCTAGGTTATGTTTTAAAGGTGCTAGTGTAGAGAGTGAGAGAGAGGACATCTATGAAGAAAGAGCTGGATTATTTATTAATGTTCGGAACAATGTGGATTCAAAGAGAAATGGATCTGTGCTAGGCGAAACGAATATGTAGGCTCTCGCTGTACCTTAAGGTAGTTATTGCTGTTTTTTGTTTGTTGTTAGTCTGTTTTCCATTATCTCGGTAAAAGAAAACACAATAAGTATTACAATGAGTGCTGATTAGCCTCAACTTTGGAAAAGCTTCCACTCTGAATCACTTTACAGTATTTGTTTGTACTATAATTTATTGAAGTCATCATTTTGCGTTTTGCTTACTGTTGTTTATAGAAAAAAAAAGATAGGTAATGCTGCGATGGATCTTCATTAATGCAATTAAGTTTCTACCCGCTAGTTGATTGATATTGGTAATGGTAAAATTCTATTTTTAAAGTTTTATGTTTGTTTTATCTGAAATAGCATCACATATTTTCTGTTCTATTTGTTTGTCAAAACGTTTCTTGTGCTAACCGTCGAATGAATAAGATTTTTTCCATGACTTAATCACTTTTGTTTAGAATAAGCAATCGACCAATCGGTTGGATCGACGACGTCAAATTTCACGTAAAATCACGATTCTACGAGACGAACATTCCGGTATGTACTGATTCAAAGAGGAACTACTACTGTTATAGTTAATCTGCTCTTTTTTCTTCTACTACGGTAAAATATGTTGCAATACATATGGTTGCTGTCAGAGTATATCTATTGGTTCTACCGGTAAAGATTCAATGATAAATGTTCAAAAAGATGTGATTGAACAGGTTTCTTTATTTACAGTGCCGTTTTCCCTTTTCTCGCCTACTTGATTATTAATGAAAATCGCCACTTTTTCAGATTTTCTTGTATCACATGTCAAATATTCCAAATACCTATCTCAACAACGTACCTACTTAATATCGACGACTTGATGTCAAGAAGACTGGCAACTTTTCAATTTTCTGCCGCTCAAATGGTGTGCTATTTTTGTGTTTGCTTCCCCTTCGCTCAAGCACAGCAAAGTTGCCAGTCGTCTCGATATGATGTCTTCGTTGATATGCCCGTTATTTTTTCAAGCACTAACTGCGTCAAACGCAACCTGTCTTCTGATTTACTCTCAAACAAATCAATTGCTGATTGTGCTAATGCAATCGATGGCCTTCACGTGGTGACTGATGTCCACGCTGGATTCCCACGTGTTTTTCAAGTTGTTGCTGCTGATGAAGTTCAACGTCTGTTGATCCAGATCAGAACCGGTGGAGAATTTCCTTCCCATCGCCATCGACGGTAGAGTCTGGTGGGAACCACCGTTGAATGGCATCGGGATCAGAATGTTGTTCGGCGTCAGGGCGGTGGTGGTTGTCGTGTTGATGATCGATGGATTCGAAGCGCACAGCAGCGGGATCGTGTCGGTGCAGATGCTGGCCTGGGTCGTCTCGTTGTCCGTTCCGTGACCGCCGTTTGCACCGTTCAGCATTGAATCGGCACAATCGATGCCGTTCTTCTCCAGCGTTTCCTCCGACACGGAACTGATGAAGGGGCAGATGTTGGACGAACGGACCAACATGCACCAATTCTGGAGGGGAGAAAAGGAGATGTTGACTTTGTTATTGGTCAAGTAAACTAGAACTGTGGTGAGTGAGATCTGACTTATCACAATTTTCAATATAATTCCAGCCGAAAAGCCCTAAGAAATTGTTGGTCATGCTGGATAAGTCTATGGCACCGACGATGCCAGAAGAGATCGGTGGAATTAAGGAGGTTCCTTACTGTAGGGTCTAATCCCTGGATGTAGAGAGGGCTGAACTTGTGGAGAGAGGGCAGAACTTGTGGAGAAGGAAGATTAATGGTCTGCTGAATCATGCTGTAAAGCCGGTTTTCCAACCGGTAAGAAGACTGCCTGTATCACTAGAGGACGCGGTTAATCGAAAATTGTATGAGTTGATGATTAGGGACATAATAGAGGAAAACAAAGGTCCAACGAGTTGGGTTTCTCCTCTTGTGGTCGTCGGTAAATCGAACGGTGACCCTAGAATTTGCTTGGATTTGCGCAGGGTGAACGAAGCGGTGCTTCGCGAAAGGCATCCTATGTCATTGATCGAAGCTTTTCTGGCTCGGGTCGGTCGTGATATGATTCGAAGAAAGTTGGACGTGATGGGCTCATTTTTGCAGTTAGAACTGGATGAAGAGTCTCGAGATATTACGGCGTTTATTACTAATCGTGGGGTTTTACGCTTACGAACTTCAGTCACCCCAATGATCATACAAGCTGGAATCGTTCCTTTGGATCTTAAAATTGAGCCTCTGCTGTCTTTCAGAAGGCCAGCAAATGCTAACGAAGCTCGCATTTTTTTTTGGATTAGCAAATTATCTAAATCGCTATATTCCCAATTTGGCAGTGAGAAAAAATTAACCAAGAAGGGAGTCGTTTTCAAGTGGACGGTGAAACATGACGCAGCGTTTCAAGAAATTAAGAAAGCTATGACTGCCTCCACCGCTCCGGGTTTCTTCAACGTACCTGATCGTACACTTGTTATGGTAGATGCTAGCCCATCTGCTTTGGGCACCTAGCTTATACAATTGGATGGGGGAGGGGAACATCGTATAATAAGTTATGCTTCCAAATCATTAACAGATACAGAACGGCGGTATTGTCGTACAGAGAAGGAAGCCCTTGCCCTTGTCTGGAATATGGAGAAATTTTACATTTACCTTTACGGGAAAGAATTTGAATTGCTAACCGACTGTAAGGCGTTGGTCTATCTCTTCACTCATCGTTCCAGACCATGCGCTAGAATAAGGCAGAGCGGTGAATCTTAGGGCTTCAAAGTTTTGAATATTCTATAACTTATACATTCCAGGAGATCAAAATGTTGCAGATGTGCTTTCTCGATTGACCACTCTTCGACCCGTAGCGTTCGATGAATTGGAGATAATGGTCAGAGAAATTGCGAATTTGTCTGCAGGTGCTGTGGCTATCGAGTGGGAAAAGTTAGTTGATGCCACTAAGCAGGATTCAGAGCTTCAACAGGTTATGAACCTAAGGAAGTTTAAGACAGGAGCTGCCAGTCGAATTTCGTATTATTGCGAATCAGCTATGCTGTGTTGGAGAAGTCTTAATTCTTAATGCGGGGAATGATCAACCGGTGAACACTCGTGTTTATTTCAGTTACCGTGGGGACGTAATTTGTGATTAGCCCGGTCCCTTTCAAATTGTTTCATTATTTATGTACGGTCCTTATATTTTAAATGACGTTTCACATTCATCTAGTGATGACCGATTTTCATTCGTATAATCGATTAATCGATTAACGAACCGAACAGTAAAATATTTGTAATCGGTTATATCAACAATCAATACGAAACTAACGATTTTAAATTGGCTCACCACTTTAGTAGCCTATTGGTCCCAAGCAAACGATTAACGTACCCTATTCTAGTTGAAATTCTATTACTACACTATGTTTGTTTTGATTCGCTATGAAAGTTTGACAGATAACATCAGGGGTGTGTGGATTCATGCAGAAAATGCAGGGGTGAGTGAAATAGCTTGGGACTGCTTGGGACCGTTGTTCTGGTACTGAGTGAGCCAAAAATAATAATGATTTTCTTCGGGACCCAGTGGTCTTAGAGTTACCTCTATGGTTATATCATGCCGATATAAGCATTAACTTCTTCAGAGGATCATCACCGATCGTTTCAAACAAGTTTTGCACTCTCATTGGTGGAAAAATTACAGAACAGCGAACGAAATAAAATCGATTGGTTGTTAATCGAGTAATTAAAAAATGGGACATCTCTGATTTTGGTGTGATTGTTTTGATAAAAAAAAGCGCGCGAAATTTCATCTCTACATTCAACAGGGCATAACTTTTTTACCATTGGGTAAAAATCAACCAAATTTAGCATACTTTCTCATTGATGTGTATTGTGTACATGCTGTCAAACTCGAAGTCGTGTTTTTCGATTCAACGAAAATGGAGGTGAACCAACGCGAGTTGAGAGAACAAATTCTTTCCAAACACCTGGAATTTCCTGACCTGTCGCACCGGCAGTTGGGAAAAATGTTGAACATTCACCATTCAACCGTCTCCAGAGTGTTGAAGCGGTTCCAGGAGCGGTTGACGTTGGACCACGGCAAAGGAGCTGGAAGAAAACCGGGACCGGAGAACAAAAAGACGGAGGGAAAGGTGAAGTGGATGATTAAAGCAAATCCCAACGTCTCAAGCCGTGATTTGGCTGAAAGATCGGCATGTCGCAGAGCTACGTCCAGAATGCAAAGAAGAGAGTTGGACTACATACATACAAGGTACAGAACTTCCCAAACCGCGATGAGCGGCAACAATCGACGGCTAAAACTCGGGCACGGAAGCTCTACGAGAAGATGCTGACAAAATATGGCTGCTGTGTGATGGACGACGAAACGTATATAAAAGCCGATTTTAAGCAAATTCCGGGGTTGGAGTTTTTCACCGGCAAGAGCAAGTTCGATGTGGACGACAAATTTAAGAAGAAGAAAATGTCGAAGTTCGCCTCCAAATATCTCATTTGGCAGGCCATCTGCTCTTGCGGACTGAGGAGTGAGCCTTTCGTGACAAAGGGCACAGTAAATGGCGAGATCTACAAATCTGAGTGCCTCGAGAAGCGCCTTTTGCCGTTCTTGCAGCAGCACGACGAAGCTCCGCTATTTTGGCCAGATTTGGCATCAGACCACTATTCTAAAAGTGTCCTGGAGTGGTATGAGGCCAATTCTGTCCATTTTGTTCCAAAGGACATGAATCCACCAAACTGTCCGGAGCTGCGCCCGGTGGAGCTGTACTGGGAAATAATGAAGCGGGAACTTCGGAAGAGCAAGAAGACAGTCAAAGACGAGAAGGACATGTTAAGAAAATGGAAAAAAAACTGAGAAACTGGTACCGGATGACACTGTAAAGACTTTGATGGAGGGCATCAAGCGAAAATGCGTTCAATTTTACACTCAAGCCTTCATCGATTAACTTTTCTTTTGATTTTTGAAGTAAATATATGTATAAAACTACCCTAAAATTTTGGTTTGATTCTAAACATTATAAGAAAATTGGCATGACATTTTCGGTGTCGCAATAATTTTGTGTTCGCCCTTTACGAAAATGTTGAGAATTGAGCTGAAGAAGTTTAGTGATTATATACCCCATTAAATACAACAGTTTTATTAAAAGAGGGGTGGGATGAAGGGTCTTGCCCCTCGATGTAGAGAGGACTTAACTTGTGGAGAGAGGATGTATAGTGTAAAGCGGGCTAAAGGAGACTCTCCGCAGAATCGATTCATTTATGAGTGTTCACTCGGATGTCGACAGTAGCAGGCCACTCTTGATGTGTGTCACGAAATCTCTGTTTACTCGGCAGCAACCATTGTGTGGTTCTCCTCATTGTACTTTATTAACAGTTCTTTCGGTCGATGCGTCGTCGACCGAAAGCAATCGTTTCGTGATGAGCGTGTGAGTGATGACCACACTTTGGGTCCATTGCTGCCATACAATGAAACCACTGGAAGCGGATCCCGTTCTGATGGAGGATGCTTATTGGTTAGCGAAAGATAAAGTGTTTATTGTGTTGTACCTTTTGACTATAGTTTTACGATGTTTTGTATAGTGAATAAGAATCCTCGGCTCTGTAAAGTGAATTCTTTTAAGCCTTATCAAATAAATCAATAAGCAAAACAAAAATAATCGCTTCGTTTTAGTCAATGTATTTCTTGTTATCGATTCACAATGAACATTCCTCCTGTCAAACATGACTTGACTATCGCTTGTTTCCTTCGTCAAGTGCATCAGTTCATTTCATTTCAAGCAAAGACTTGTTTCAATTGACGCAATGAATTACTCGGAATCTGTTTCCTACGTTTTTTCCACTTTCACTTAATTTCGGGGCTCATTCCACTTGTCACGGGTCGCGTCGTTAGGCATCAAAATATAGTATCCGGAAAGTATCAGCACAATATCGGTTGCCGATAGGGAGGCATCTAGATTATATGTAGTAGTACAATGTTACTTGATATTAAACGAAAATTAAATTAACGAGGCCATCGGGCTTAGGAAAAGTCTCAAATATCCTACAATATGGTTATTTTTGGAACGTAGTAGACGCATAGATGCTGAAAATCAATATTCGATGCCATTTTGGAATCCAAGATGGTGGTCATCGGGTTTCAGAAAAAAAGTGTCAAATACCCTACAATATGGGTATTTTCCGAGGGGGGCGACACATCTAAATCTCAATTCTAGATGCTCGAAAAATCTCACAGTAGCGAATCAATCTTCTAAAAATCTTCTTTCATTTCTCGCATCTACTTGCATCGCGCATCATCTTTTTGCAGGAAATCTCCAAAATCGTGATAAATCTTCTTTCTATCTACTCAGCTAGCCACAGCAATACACAATATTTCCTGCATCGTAGATAGAGTCGTCCCCCTCGGTATTTTCAGAACAAGGACGGCGCGTAGATTCTGAAAATCGGTATTCGACACCATTTGTAGGGTATTTGACACTTCTTCTGAAATCGAAAGCCACCATCTTGAATTTCAAGACATAGATTGACGTAGATTTCCGACCTCTAGATACCACCCCGATTTCAAAAATACTCACAATGATCGGTATTTGCGAGGGGGCGACACATCCAAATCTCAATTCTATATGCTCAACAAATCTCCCACTAGCGAATCAATCTTCGAAAAATATTCTTTCATTTCTCGCATCTACTTGCATCGCGCATCATCTTTTTGCAGGAAATCTTCAGAATCGTCATCAATCCCCTTTCTATATACTCAGTGTGCGCGCAGTTAGCCAAAACAAAACAAATCTTTCCTGCATCGTAGATAGAGTCGCCCCCTGGGGTATTTGACAGTATTTCACACTTTTTCTGAATCAAAGCCACCATCTTAGATTATAAAATGGCGTCAAACATCGGTTTCTGGCCAAGTAATCAACTCTGCACACTGTGCCGAAACACATCACGGCACACTGATCGACACGTTAGGGCACACTTTGACAAATATGTCACAGAATATAATATAAAACGGCATCACTGTTTTTTTTTGCTGACGTTTCTCCAATAGTTGCTTAGGTTTCGCACTTTGTTGACAGTCGTTGATCTTCGATTCAGGATGAATTTAATAAGTTCATCGGACTAGACGATCAGATTCCGGATTAGAAGTCAAACCTATAGGATTTCGCTCGGATCTCTCCTGCAGTCAGTACTTCGTCTGATTCCCTGCAAGAGTTGTTAAAGTGTGGTGATAAATACTGGCGCCGAAATCATAACCAGCAACAGCAATAACTAGGTCACCCTCAGGGTCATCCACTTTTGCAACCAACATGATTGCAACAGTTGCTTGGCGTTTCCGGTAGCGGAAAATATAGGTAATAACGGTTCTCATGGGTCAATTCCACAGGCACTAAGCGGTGGCCAGATACATAGTCGTATGCAAATCAGGGCCCTTCCTCTGGATGAGCGATATGAAGAGCCACCGGTTGCTCACCCTGTTTGAATAATCACGATTCGTTCAATAAATATGATGACAATAACAAACAAATAATCACAAACATCATTAAAACCTCAGGGTTGCCAAACCCAACAAACATTTGAAGCGGAATAAGAGCTTATTCAGGAAATAATTTGCTTCTTCAGCTAAAACATAGCTTATTCAGCCATTAATCAGCACAAAATGTTTGTTGGGATATCACAAGATACTTGATTGGCACGCTTCGGCACAGCTAAAACATTTGGTACAGATTGAGATGTGCAGAGTTGACTATCTCTTGCATTGATGGGTATTTGACAGTATTCCCCACTTTTTTCTGAAATCGGAAACCACCGTCTTTCATTCCTTAGACGTCATCCCGATTCGAAAAATACCTCTATTGATGGGTAGTTGACAGTATATCCAACTTTTATCAAACCGTAAGCCGCCATCTTAGATTTTAAAACGGCGTCAAATCAGTGCCAACATTTCGAAGGGGCGTAATTGCATTTGTAAACAATGGCTTTAGTCGTCGATTTCTCGCGAATAAAAGCTCACTCATGAAAAATAATATCACCAGCAGGTAGAGGAATGTTTCCTCTACCAGCTAGCATTGTAATTTTGGAGAGGTAAGATTTTATTCGCGAGAAATTGACGGCTAAAGTCATTGTTTACAAAAGCAATTACGCCCCTTCGAAATGTTGGCACTGAAATATCGATTTTCATTATCTAGACGTCATGCAAAAAAAAAAACGATGAAGCAAAACAAAAACAAGTCATTTTCACAGCGCGGCCTGCTTCGATTCCTTTCAAGGGAGTTCTGAGGCTGTGTTCCATTTGGTGAATTTTTACTTAAATTGACAGATGGAAAATTTTGAATAAACGTGCTATTTCAGCAGACCTATTTCTGACAGACAAGGAATCAATTTTGATAGACGCTTTCTCGAAAATCGACCGATCAACAACAGAAGGATTTTCGAATATCTTAATTTATTTTCGAAGTGTCAAATCTAAGTTAAAATTTTCCAAATAGAACACAGCCTAAGGCTGTGTTCCATTTGGCGAATTTTCACTTAAATTTGACAGATGGAAAATTTTGAATAAACCTGCTATTCCAACACACTTCCCTATAATAAATTACCATAAACGAACGATAACCCAAATGATTGAACTATTCCACAAATGAGTTGGATGAAACCCCGAACACGCCGTTAAGAAAATTAACCATTACATTTTTATTAGGATTATTTCTGACATACAAGGAAACAAATTTTGACATAAACCTTTTCGAGAATTGGACGATCAACAACAGAGGGATTTTCGAACATCATGAAAATTTACCAAATGGAACACAGCCTGAGGCTGTGTTCCATTGGCGTTGACGGCACCGTCGAAATATTTGCTCTTCCAGCAAATATAGACAGTTTCTTATGAGAATTTTCGGTGGAGTGAAAGGATAGTACAAAGTCCGCCATGTTTCACGCACAGGCTGACGTTTGCTTATGGATTTTCTCATAGGAGTAAATAGCTACAGAGTCGCCGTCAACGCCAATTTGGTGAATTTTCACTTAAATTTGACACTTCGAAAATAAATTAAGATGTTCGAAAATCCCTCTGTTGTTGATTGGCCAATTTTCGAGAAAGCGTCTGTCAAAGTTGATTCCTTGTCTGTCAGAAATAAGTCTGGTACAATAGCAGGTTTATTTGAAGATTTTACATCTGTCAAATTTAAGTGAAAATTCACCAAATGGAACACAGCCTGAGAGTATTGCAAGAAAATTCGGAGAAGAAATTCAAAGGGAAATCGAAGCTTGATTCCACTGGTAGTTAAGGAGAAAACATATGGAATGTCAAGGAATATTGAATAGAAATTGTGAGAAGAATTATACGTGAATTTTGAGAAAAATTTCCATTATGAGAAATTCAAGGGAGTTCTGACTATAATATCAAGAGAATTAAGAGGAAAATTCGATGGAAGTTTCGAGGATCATTTCACAAAAATTCTAAGGTGTATTAAAAAGGAATTCTGAGGAAATTTACTAGGGAATTCTTATGAGAGCCTGAATGCAATTCCTGTGAGAAACTCAAATTAGCATTCCGTGAGAATTCTGAAGCATATTTTAAGAATTGCAAAAAATCAGAAGCATTTCTAGATTATTTTGAAGAAAATTATGTGTGTATTAATTTGTTACATGGTTTTAAATAAATTCTTCAACAAATCAACCAGCTTTTTTTTTTGACAGATTAGAAATCAATTTTCACAAAAATTCTTACGAAAATCTGACGGTCAACAACAGAGGGATTTTCGATCATTATAATTTATTTTCAAAGCGTCAAATTTAAGTGAAAATTCTGATAGTGCGCAGGATGCATGAAAGAATTTCCATATAAATCACATAGGGTGACAGCACAGACAAATAGACGTAACTCTTTGAAAAACTTGTTCTTGATAACATAGTATCTCAAAACATATTAGGTATAACATTTGATAACGGCACAAAAGCATTTGTAAACAAACTTTCTAAGGCCCTTTACACGCGAACCAAAGTACGCCCACGCTAACCAATACCACTTTCGGAAAGGTGATAGTTGCTCCTATCCGATGATGTTGATAATTTGCGTGGGTGTTCTTTGGTTCGCGTGTAAAGGGCCTTAGAAAGTTTGTTTACAAATGCTTTTGTGCCGTTATCAAATGTTATACCTGATATAACCTCAGTAACGACATAAACTATAACTCGTAAACAATATTGCATAAAAGTTCTATAGACTATATAGAAACGTCAAAGTGATCCGATGCCAGCGCTGCGCCGAGTAGTTCGCGGAACTGATAATATTCAAATCAACCGTTAAATGCATGAACGAAGATACACAATGAAGAGTTACGTCTGTTTGTCTGTGGTGACAGTGTTTCGTGCAGATCATCGACCAAATGTACCAAAAACTTGATGTACTTGATTCCATATTTTGATGTCAATGTCTGTGTAAGGGAAGTTAGCATCCATGTACTTGAAATCTATGTCTTTGCTAGGAAAAACCACCACGTGCCTGCCTGCCATACTGTACTCATCCAACTTGTGCCGTACTTCGATGATATTTCGAGAACCAAGCACCAGCCTCTACTTACCAAAATGTTCAAACAGATGGCAAAGATGACGGGCATCACGCACGAATGCATATTTTCCAGTGCGATCACACTAAGGAACCAGCAAATCGAGTAGATCGGTTGAAAGAAGAGTCCGAACTTGATCGCCCGCTTGAAATCGGTAAAGTCCTGAATGTCGGACGCCATACTGGGTGTGGACAGTTCCGCCAACGAGAGCTGCCCCAAGTCGATCCTGGTGTCGTAGCACTCCAGCGACTTCTTGATGCCGCTGAGGCTGAATCCGTGACCTACTACAGTTTGCTGCGGCAGCGTAACGACCGATTGGCGATTTTCCAGCATTTGATTGGCGTATTCCTGGCAGCATTTTTCCTTCAGTTCCAGCTGCGGGTAGCTGTTGCTTCGGTTGGCCAGGTGAGCTCCTACCGAGGGCAGCCGTGGGAACATAATATCGTTACACTTGGAGGTGGTTTCAATCATGCTTTCGATGCTTTCGCACAGAATCGCCGTCTGTTTGCTGGAGATTTTCTTCAGACTGATCGTTCCCAGCACCGTGGTCAGGATGATGAGGAACGAAATCGGTATCATGAAGCTCACGATCATGCCCTTCTGGATCGACATCCAACAGTAGCGATGCACCTCGAAGGTGTCGATTGATGAGGCGTATGAGAACTGGAAAGAAATTCCTTGCATTAGGTTGCATCAAGACTAACCGTTACTCATAGGTACATACCAAAACGTAGACAGCCGGAACTCCGTAGCCCATCAGATAGTTGTACTTCAGCTTGGGTCCACATTCGTTAACGATGAGGTCGTAGATCACGTAGATGTAGATGAAGCACCAGATGCTCGTGCTCAGATGGAGATAGTGCAATACAATGGCAATCAGTTCACATTTGACTGGATTGCGAGTGGCTTGAACTCCAAGCACGAACGAAAAATTGGACGCCGCTAGAGTCAGTAGCATATTCAGACAAATCGGATAGAACGTGTTGAAGTGCCGGGGGCGGCGGTTTCGCAGGAACAGTATTATTGCCGTCAGTATCTGCGGTGCCAGTGCGAAGACGGCCCCTATCACAATTACGTTGCTGCCCAGATCCTTCCGAAGCGTCCCGTTCGTACCGTAGTAGATGTACATAATGTTGTCGATAAAGTCGTGGCCTTTCATGTCGTCGTTCAGACTATCGAATGAACCGTCGTCATCGATGCGGGCCTGAGGACTCTTTCGGAGAGATTTCCCGGAATCTGAAAAAAAAACAAGTCGTTATTTCATAGCCCATCAAAGCAAATCCATTTGGGATACCTACAAACTTTAATCACATTTTCCTCCCCGGGATAACGGTTCCTCTTCATGGTGCTCTTGTTGAGGAACGTGGCGTAGATATGGTCCGGATCGGGATAGATGTCTGGTGGTCGGGTGACTTCATCCTCCTGCGAAGAGGTGCTACTGCTGCTGCTACTGCCTTCCTGTTCCGATGCCAAAGGAAGCGGAACGCGGTAGCCTAGTCCGGCCAGGCCGTTTTCGTACTCCCGGTTGTAGGCGTTCCGCGATGAATCGGCATCGTAATCGTAGAAAATGGGTTCCATGATGTCCGCTGCCGGGCGGGTGTAGTTGATGAAATCGTTGATGTACCGTGCCTCGTAGTTGGGGAATTTGAGCCGCGCCGAGGTGACTTTGGCTGCAAGGGGAAAAGAAATTGCATCGATTAGGTTCGTACACTGGGTTAAGGGATTTTGGTGGAACGCCAGATTTTATCGTTTATTTGTTTATTTATTTATTTGGTTCTACATCAACAGACTGGGTTTAGTCCTTATGATGGATTAAGCAATACTAGGCCGGCACCGGTGGTGTAGTGGTAAGCGTGACTGCTTTCTCACTCCAATGGGTCTGGGTTCAATCCCAGTCGAGGTCGGTGGGATTTTTCTGAGGCATAAAAATCTCTGGTCACGTCTTCCTTCGGAAGGGAAGTAAAGCCGTTGGTCCCGGCCCATGTGTGTTGATGATTGGGTGCGATATCCTACGCAGGTGTGGAAGCTGCCTTCCTGCACATTCGATTGCCGTCAATGGATGGCAATCGATGTCCGTTGGGGATTGGCACTAGATTGCGGAACAGAGACCGACGTTAAATAAAGGAAAGAAGAAGAAGAAGAAGCAATACTAGGAGATACAATATAGTCAAGAAGTAACAAGCTGCAAAGGCCGTGAAGTCCAACTTAATTCCTAATTCTTAAAAATATATCACGGAATCTCTGACGCAGCGTTTCGCGTGCCAAGTGAAAATCAAGTAAGGAAGCACCACGATTGAAAACCCATTGTAGCCCATTGATAGCACCATACGAACTATAGTTTGTACGACGAAAAGGTATCCTCAGCATTGCGTTGTTACGGAGTGCTCGTGGTTGAACGTTAACGTCGATTTGTTGTAGAATAGAACGACAATCGATTCTGCCCTGTAGAATGTCTGCCACAAACAGGGCCCTTGTCGTATCTCTTCGACTCCACAAAGGATCCAGGTGAATTAACTGGCACCGACTTTCGTAGCTTGGAAGGCGATGAGGATCCCTCCAAGGCAATCGTCGAAGGGCAAACCAGATGAATCGTCGTTGAATAGACTCTACTCTTTGTACACTGTTTTGGTAATTGGGATTCCATACAGGGCAGCAGTATTCTAACACCGACCGGACGAGGGAGCAGTAAAGCGACTTCAGATAGTAGATGTCCGTGAAACTTTTACCTATCCTGAAAATGAAGCCGAGCGTTCTGGATGCCTTGTCGATCACGTACGAGATATGCTGGCTGTATGTGAGTTGGCAATCTAAGGCTCTGAACCATTTGGTGGATTATTTTAACTTTTGGTTAAAATTTGACAGATGAAAAGTTATCGATTAACCCTGCTATCCGAGCATGGTTATTTCTGACAGACAAGAAGTTAAATTTTGACAACCGTGGCTCGAAAACCGGTCGATCGACAGCACGGGGATTTTCGAACATAGAAAATAACTTTCGAAATGTCACTTTTAACCACGAGTTAAATTTAACTCGGCAAATGGTTCACAGCCTAAGATGACTCCCAGATCCTTAGGCTCTGAACCATTTGACGATTTATTTTTTATTTTTGGTTAAAATTTGACAGATGGAAAGTTATTGATGAACCCTGCTATCCGAGCATGGTTATTGGCGTTGACGGCACCGTCGAAAAATTTGCTCTTTCAGCAAATTTAGATAGTTTCTTATGGGAATTTTCGGTGGAGTGAAAGGATAGTACAAAGTCCGCCATGTTTCACGCACAGTCTGACGTTTGCTTATGGATTTTCTCATAGGAGTAAAGAGCTACAGATTCGCCGTCAACGCCAATTGCTGACAGACAACCGTGGCCCGAAAACCGGTCGATTGACAGCACGGGGATTTTCGAACATAGAATTTTTTTTTTTCGAAATGTCTCTTTTAACCACGAGTTAAATTTAACTCAGCAAATGGTTCACAGCCTTAGGCTCTGAACCATTTAGTGAATTATTTTAACTTTTGGTTTGACAGATGTAAAGACAGATGGAAAGTTATCGATGAACCCTGCTATCCGAGCGTGGTTACTTCTGACCTCGCTTCTGACAGACAACTTGGCTAAGTTCTTCTCTAAAACCGGTCGATCGACAGCACAGGGATTTTCGAACATAGAAAATAACTTTCGAAATGTCACTTTAACCACGAGTTAAGGCTGTGTTCCATTTGGCGAATTTTCACTTAAATTTGACACTTCGAAACTAAATTATAATGTTCGAAAATCCCTCTGTTGTTGATCGGCCAATTTTCGAGAAGGTGTGTGTCAAAATTGATTCCATGTCTGTCAGATATAAGTCTTCTGGAATAGCAGGTTAATTTGGAAATTTTCCATCTGTCAAGTTTAAGTGAAAATTCGCCAAATGGAACACAGCCTAAATTTAACTCAGCAAATGGTTCGCAGCCTTAATGTGATTCACACGATGTTCGTAAACGCCTTCTAGGATATAACTGAATGTAATTGGATTTTTCTGTGAGAACGTGATTACTGAACTTTTTGTTGGATTTACAACCATGCGGTTCAGTTGGCATCAATTAGCAAAAGCGTTGAGTTGGAGTTGGAGACGGTGGCAGTCAGCGATGGCTCGGGTTCGGAGATAGATTATCATGTCGTCTGCGAACGACAGTCGTGGACCGTCGAGGACGAAATTGACGTCGTTGAAATACACAAGAAATATCCACGGGCCGAGGTGGTTACCTTGCGGAATATCCGAAGTGGCAGGGAACGAAGGAGATCGGCAGTCGTCGATTGCAACTTCCAACTGACGATCAGTTAGATAGGATGCAAACCATCGTAGGAGACTACCGTTTATACCGAGTCTATCCAGTTTGGCGGCCGCTATAGGATGGTTCAACTTATCGAAGGCGGCTGATAGGTCAGTGTAGATGACATCTGTTTGCATATGGTCTGTCATACTCTCCGTAATGTCCGAGTTGAGACACAGAAGGTTGGAGGTAGTCGACCGCCCTGCCATGAAACCATGCTGGTCTTCGCTCAAGTGCTGCTTGAAGTGAGAGACTAATGGTTCCATAACGACCAACTCGAACAGTTTAGATATGGTACACAACGATGTGATGCCGCGATAGTTGTCGATGTTTCTTTTGCATCCCTTCTCAGCTGATTTCCAGCAGGAAGGAAACACCCCACTGGAGAGGGACATTTCGAACAGAAGGCAGAGAGGAGTCACCAGGCTATCGATGTGTTGCTTAAGAAAGACGGAAGGAACTCCGTCAGGTCCAGGCTTAAATGAAGACTTCAGTAGCGAAGCCGCCCTAGTTATCATAGCGAGATCGATGTTGATAGCTACCAAAGATTGACCAGACATTGGAACATTACTGGCTGCTAGAGAAACGTGCTCGTCAGGTAGGTTCTCGCCCGAGAATACACTCGCAAACTTGGTTGAGAACAGACGGCAAATGTCGTTAGGGGATAAAGTCGATGGAAGGCCAGACTCCTTTCGTTGCTCATTCGCATAATTCCAAAAAGTTTTCGGGGGAGATCGAAGCTTCCGTTGAACATTTCGTTGATAACGCCGATAAAATTGGCGACTGGTTCATTGATACGCATGATTGATCCTTGCATAATGGTCCTTGAGTTGTAGGGTGTGGTACTTGGCGCATTTTCATAGCGCGACTCTTTTGGAAGACTTTAACATACGGAGTTCACTTGTTTGCCAAGGATGATGATTACCTTATTTAGGAACTTTTTTCGGAACGTGTCGTTCAATGGCGTAAGCCAAAATATGCGAGAGCGTTTGGGCAGCTGCATTGACATCGGCAGGGACGAGTATCCTGTGCCAGTCCGAATTCGAAAGAAGTTCCCCGATACTGTCGTGGTCAGCATTTCGGAAATCGTAGGAGAACTCTAAGGGGTAGAATGAATTTGGTTGCCTTCAAGTGCAATAACTAAAGGAGGATAGTGTCTAAGGTCTAAGCTACGATTGTTCTAATTGCTTCAGAGTGGCGATACTGTAATGATCCAAAAGGCTTACAGCTCCAGAGTGAAATGTAGAACGGTCGTGGTCCGGATACAGGAATCCACCGTAAGTGTCGCAATCACTCTTCCTTTGGGCCAACAGTTGCGAGGATGGTTCGGGTCCACTATGACGACTACGTCGCCGATTTTTACCGGTAGCGTACTGGAAGCGTACCATTTAGTCCTACGCTCAGGTAGGTGCTCAGCTACCCAACGTCTCCAGGACTGGTTGGCGATGATTTGCGAAGCACACTAACACAGACGTACTACGGCGCCGCTGTCATCAAGTGTGGTGAGCGGCTTGGCTCCGTTTCAGCTTCCCAGAAGAATGTGATTAGGGGTGAGAGCTGGGACGGCGTTGTCTTCGATCGAAACATGCGTAAGTGGTCTCGAGTTCAGTTGTTCTCGATCTCGGCTAATGCGTTGCGCAATACTTCATCCGAAGGACGTCGAGGCAAGTTTAGAGACTTGTGGCTGGTCTTCACACTGCGGATCAGGCGCTCCCAGCTCCCACCCATGTGTGGTGACGATGGTGGATTAAAGGACCAGGTAGTTTCGGAGCTGGTGAACTCCTTCATCATCGCTTCATGATCGAGCTCTCGTACCACCCGACCTAGCTCATTGTTTGTGCGCACAAAGTTGGTTCCGCGGTCGCAGTATATGTAGCGTTTTTCAACCCTCCTGCCAACAGTGACCTCCATGGGACAGAAGTAGTCGATTCCTATGATGGGTGAATGGTCCAGAATGCGCTGCTAATCTTGCCTCAGGAAGGTCAGCCATGATCGTAGGACTCGGCACAGCTCGATCGTTTTTACAACGCTGGCAGTTTCATCTGACCTTGGCACAGCAAACGCGGATGCGTGGAATGGAGTAAAGGGTGATACGGTCAAAATTTGGTCAAGGGAAAACGCGTGTAAATCGGTGAAATCGTTTATTTAAAAAATCAAATTAAATTTCTTTTTCAAGTTGAATTAGTATAAAATTCAGGAAAAATATTCAGTTAGGCTTCCGCTTTTCCAAATCCGAATTGCCGGGCCTTACGCTTGACCCCTGCCATCAGATTTCGTACAGCCACCTTGTCCACCTTCTTCGCCGCAGAAAGCCAGTTTGCCTTGAACTGCTGCTCGCCCTTAGCAGTTTTTTTGGTC